CCGAATTTGTCAGTTTTGGTAGGTTGATTGTTGAAATTAGAATTTTATAATTTTAAATGTACATTTGTAGATATCTACTAATTTTTTTTTGGGTGTTCGCACGATATTCTCTTTTTTTGACAAAAATATTTCATTCATTCCGATATAATTAATTTGTTTTTTAAAAAGGTTTTCCGATTCCAAAAGTATGCAATTGTATAAAATGCAAAATCGGGAAAAATGTACCAAGCAGAAAATAAATTGCCAAATGACCCACCAGTGGCAACTGTGGAAGTGATCAGCTGTTTCGAGGGCGGCAAGTTTTTGCAAATTTTGCGTTCTGGTATTTCTGTGGATATTTTTTCTCTCTGAGAGCGCATGCAGCTAAATTCTCAGATTTTTTTCTGTTGGATAATTTTGTCCTCTCAATACGAGTACACACCTAATAATTGTTAAAACCATTAATGATATTTTAAATTTTTTGCTGCCCACGAATGGACCCTCATATGTACATATAGTATGTATACTTTTTTTGCAAATATGTTTATATATCTATACATGTTTTCGACTTGCTCACACATAAATATTTATTATTACAAATTTTCGTATCCTTCGACTCCTACCTTTTCTAAACCAACTCATACACCAATAGCAAAAGTTTGAAATAAAGCATTCTCATTGTTTTATATATGTATATGCATATGTATGTATATTTTTGTTATTAAAAGAAAGTACTTAAGTTTTAGTTTTACGTTTGCGATAACAAATTAGAGGCTATATTTTTCAAAAAGTTAGATAAAATTCGAAAAGCACACATGTTTTAATGTCATGCATGTATTTGGTTATGCGCAGCAGTAGTTATTGGGTTAAAATTTAAAACGATTTCGGTAATTTTCCCTTCCACACTACACTTCGACAACACGATCGTCTCAAAATATTTCAATTTTATTTTCGAATATGCGACCAGAAAAAAGCCTCTTTCTCGACTTTCTGATTATCCTAAATTGACAAGGAGATCCCACCTTAAGAAAGCATTTACAATATTAACTTGTAGTGGAGAGGGCTTTTTAAGTTCTTCGGTTTTGCAATATCAGCTTTGATTGAGCTCTCACTCTCTTGATCAAGGCGCACCTACATACATAGTATGTATGTATATAAGGTGATAGCAAGCGCATACACATGCATATGTATAAATATGTATTTTATTATTGCTTTTTGGTACTTTAGGGTGTCAAAACGAGACAAAATAAAAATTAACTTTTGTCATTTCGTTTTTTTTACATCCTAGAGTTACGCCATTTCGTTCTACTGAACTAGTGTTGAAACAAAAAATATCTAATCATCTGTTCCAGTAACACCACCTTATATATATAAATTCGGCTTGGTCTTGATGACATAAATAAAACGTTTGCCGTTATGTGAACAGAAGAGAATTTCAAAGAAGCGCTCTCAACTCTTATTACGTTTGTAGTGTACATACTTAAATAATAACCCTACCAGAACAGTTTACCCTATACTCCACTAAAATTAAATTTTCTTTTTCAAATCTGAAACACAATCACAAATTTTTACAAAAATTTCCTATACACAAACGTTACTATAGTATCCTGCAAAAATCGCGACTACTCCATGCACGCTATAAAGAGTACTCCCTAAGGGCCAAGGAGTACTCCAAAATTAAGCGAACGGAATATAAAAAATGTGGTCTAATTGACATTGCGATATCCTAGGGCAGGACCATATACTCCAGCTCTGCATTATATCAGATTATTATATCTCTCGGCAACATAGCCGAATAAACATCGTGGAGTGATTACGATGGTTAAAACACGAGCGTTGATCGGGTAACATTAAGCTGTTCAGAGACTAGCGTTGCCGCTTTGGTAATTTTTAATCAAAATTGGTAATTTTTTCTTTATTTCTCAAATTTGGTAATTTATTTTTCAATGTGGTAACATTTCCGATTCGGACCTACATGTCAGATAGGTCAACACAGGTTCTCATTCCTGGTTAAGAAGTGGCCCGTAAGCTTTTCCTTTTATAGAAATACTAGGTAATCCTGAAAGATTCAGATGAACGAGAGCACAAAGCGTGTTGCCCGAGCACGAGCAACTCGGCGCCCTTCCTCGTCTCCCCCTCTCCCACAAGTAACGAGTTGCCGCGACAAAAGTGTCTCCGTCTGAATCTAGACTTATGGTCTGATTATGCATACTTCGCATAACTTCGCACAACTTCGCATAAACTTCAAACTGTAATTTCGTATGTACTTTGTATGTATGTATTTCATTACCCAGAAATTAGCAGAACTTTTAAAAACTTAGCGATCTGTTGAGTTTAGATTTTGCTTCACACTTTCTTAAGTAACATTTTTAGTGCACTGGTACAAATGGTTGTGCGAAGTTATGCGAAGTATGCATAATCAGACCCTTACAGAGGAGCATTTTGTAATGTACTCCAATCCGGCCGAAATGGACCACATGGTCCAACGATTTTTGCAGGGTACAAAAACTCACACGAAATCCATAGAAAGTTTACGAAATAGTAGTAAAACTACTTATTTGCAAAATTTTGGGTATTTACCCAGACTGATCTGGTAGGGAAATTTTTCCTGCCGTTCCAAATATTCTCATGACTTATATATATATGTACATATGCATGTATTACCTTTGCAAACCCGCAAACCCTTTGCAGGAAGAAATATCGTTTTTTTTTAGTCAAAAGCCGACACTGACTATCAATATGGCTAAGTGAGCGTAATTAAGTGAAAATTTCCGGATTGTTTCAAAATGTATGCAATATTTTGTAGTTTTGTTATTAAAGAATTAATTAAAAATACGTCTTTAAAGTTAGTATGTATGCATCCGTATATATGCATTAAATTAAATGGAATACCTTTGAAAATACTTGTTCTAGTTTATTTGTATTCTATAGTTTTAAATTATGCTGTAGGTTTGCTTCTTTAATTTTTTAAATTTTCCTGCAATACAATAATAAATTCCATATAAAATATGTAATCTTCGTGTGTAAAATTATTATTTAAACAGTATAATACTCTTGTGCTTGGGAATTGTCATGTGCTCAATGTGGAAAATCAGCTTCAGCTAAGGTTATGCCAATTTCTTGATTGGTTTTTTATATTTTCTGTATGTACATAAAAATACACGTGCTTTTTATTTTCGCCGACGCAATAATAATTAGGAAGATAAATAAGTTTCGTGTTTACATATGTATGTATGTATGCACATAAATTTTTATGTAGAGTATGTACGTTCTCCTAAAAGCTTGGAAGTCCTTACTGGAAATAATTCGTTTTTTACTCCCTCCTTATTCATATGCACATGCATACATTTTACTTTTGAATTATTACAATTATTTTTCTGTTTTTGTGAAAGCATTTTAGCAAAAACTTTTTAAAATAAGTTATTTTCGATTCATACACACATTTTTTGTATACATCATGCATATATGTATATTTTTATGTATGTTTATACATATGTATGTGTTTGTAATATTTTATTTTGTAAGCATGTTTTATGTGCGAGTGCACTGACTCCGAAGTACGATTTGCATGTAGACAATCACATGTGTATTAACAAATACATACAGTGAGTGTCAGTTAAAATCGTACAGTAATTTTTCCATATTTTGAAAATAGGTTGTTTTATTTAAATTTTATTGTTTTCTAATAAAAATATAGTTCATAAGTACTACAACAAAATCCATAAAACTCAAAGTTTCGAACTTTGTAACAATTTAAAAAAAATCCTCAAATTTTCATCAATATTTCACATTTTTTGTTCAGAATTTATAGACTTTTTTTGGTATGCAGTTTTATAGCCCAAAATACCGTTGATTTGTGGAATTTTTTTGGCGGTGCACATTTTCTTTTATATAACGAATAAACAAAATCTATTTTTATATGGAAGAAAATGCGTTAGACTCTCGACAAAAAGGTATTTTGTTGCGACTTCAAACTTGCACTTTATTAGACTAAAATTGAATGGGATATAAAACTGCGTACCCAACAATTTTAAAAGTTCTGAATAAAAAGTGATGAAAATAGGTGCGTTCGTTTAAAATCTCCAACAGAAACCAACCAACTGCCAAATTCCGGCGAAATGTCATCTGTTCGCTCATAAGAGAGAAATATCCAAAATAGTACGCGAACAGAAAATTTGCAGAAACTTGCAAGTTAGACGAACAGCTGATATAATTTTTGTTTACATTCAAAAGTGTAAAATTTAAAACGTACGAAACAAAGTGGTATCCTGGCACAGTTTATTGATTAAACAAATAACTACTTACTTCTTACAAGTTTAATTAGTCGCATTTTGTAATTTTTAACTTCCAAACCATCAAATTCAATTTTGTGATTTGCGTAAATGCCAACCAGCTGTTTTTGATCAGCTGTTTTCCTGTTGGCAAATTGCTGTTGGCAAAAATTTTTCCAGCAGAAACCAGCAGCTTCCCCTCAAAATGAAATGTCACTTTGCTCTCTCAATTTCCCCTACTTTGCAAGTTTTTTGCGTACGCGAACGCAAAAACTTGTAAGTTTTGGTTAAACATGAACAATTAACAGCTACGCGAACGAACCTTATATTAGGTTTATTTTTTTTTAATGACTTTATTGTAGTATGAACTATACAAAACTTTCAAAATATGGAAGAATTACTGCACGATTTTGACTGACACTCACTGCATGTATGTATGTACTTATGTACATGCTCACATTTCCTGCAGTTTTTTTTCTTAACTTTTTATTACTCAAAATTTTAACATCTCCCCCAATTTATGCATTTACAACAGAGACTGCCACACCAGTATTGCAAGTGCACTCATATCTTATTTTTATAATTCTCATTAGTTTATGTATAATGCAGTTTTTTAGCATTTCAGCTTTTATAATAGCTTTTTTCGTTAGTTTCTTTTCTTAATTTTCTACCCGACTAGTCACCCTTTCTCGCATAATTTTTTTGTTCCCTATAACTTATTCCCTGTTCCTGATTACTTTTTTATTTTTATACCCGAGCGCACTTGCGCACAAGGGTATATTAATTTTTTAATACATCTATTTATCTTCTTCAATGCCCTCGTCCATTGCGGCTTTAACGTGGGCGGTACTCATTTCCTCCCTACCAATATCACATTTTTCAGCTAACATATCCTCAATGCCCTCATCAACTGGCTGATTCTCTTTGTTAGCCTCTGTGTCGTCATCAGTTTGTGTAGACGGATCTTTACCCTCGGCAACTCCATTAGTCGTGGCTTCATGATTTGAATGTGGATCTTCATCATGACTGGCATCTTCTAGACCCGGAGTCATTTTGACTCGGCATGTTTCGTAGGCCTTTGTAAAGCCTAACTTGGTGTAGAGATTCCTAGATGCATCATTTTGTGGACGTATGACTACGAAGGGCGAATAGCCACGCTCAATTACAAGTTTAGTGAGAGCTCTAGCAAGGCGTATTCCATAACTAAAACGGAAAAAACTTATAATAATTAAATGAGCACACAACCAAAGGACTTTGGTTACCCCTTGCGACGATAATCTGGACGTGTTTGCATCGAGAACATTGCTCCATAGTAAGAGTGCACCATCCATGCAGCCAATTCATTGGTATCTTTGCGAAAGATTCCTAATCCAGGCAACACCTGCACTAATATCTCGAACACTTCTATGCGCTCGATCTCGCTGGCCGGATACAAGTCGTGTATACCTTTCACATCGTCAGCAGTAAGAGGACGCATTACTGCATCATCAGACAGTTCCTCCAACTCCAGCTCTGTGTTCAGCTCATTACACACGTAAATGTCGCCTTCAAGCCGCTCCATTACACCAAAAGTGGAGTAAAAGTCATCCAGCCGATTCATGATAGCAATATGCGTGAAATTCAGGTACAATGGCTTTTGCCAATCGATAAGGACATCCTCGGTACGCATCAGATCCACACATTCGATTTGTGTTGAGGGACAAAAGATGCCAAAGCTTTGATAGATATTGTTGTTCGGCTAAATTGAGAAAAACGTAAAATAAAATAAATGATTATTTATCGCATTACACTGCCAAATTATAACTGATACTTAGTTGATAAAAAGAAAACTAGTCATGATGTATTTTGAAACGAATATCCGTCTTCCATTGTCAAGTTTGGTTTCGAGACAAACAGGTTTCGGCGTTGTGCCTTCGTGAGTGTTACTTTTCGTTCGTTTTTCCACTTTGCAAGGGATCACGGAGACTCGTTCCAAAATGCATACGTAAGGATGTGTTGAAATCATCTTACAAACCTATCGGAAAAATTAGCCAACAGAATCTATTTTTATCCTTCAAAACCAGCATTATAATGCCGTGTTATTGCGAGTTTTCAGACGCCAAAATTGCGTAATTTTAACACTTAGGGGTTTCCCTTAAACTCGTAAAGTCTTAAACTGTGTAAAACTCGTAAGTTTTCGAGGCTTTTATGGGAACGCCCCCTATGTGAAAAGGTGTAAATAGGTGCGTAAATTGACTGTTTGACAGATCAACCAGGATTTTGTGAAGAAACTTTTGTTTCATAGTATTTTCCATAACATCCCGCCGTCTTGTCTATCACTCTTGGCTAAAATACAATTAAAAATACCGCAAATTATCAGAAAACTTAAGTCAATACTAACTAGTGGATAAAATTCATTCATTTTATTTTCGTATTATTTTTTTCATTTATTTTCATTATTTAATCATACATTTAGTATAAAAATTTCGGCCCCTCGGCAGCACTGAAGTTTACGAGGCCGTTTGCGCATCAAATTTGCCTCGTAATTTTACGAGAGGCTCGTTAATTGAGCTCCAAACAAATTTTAACAGTTATTTTACGAGGCTCGTAAATTTACGAGCTTTACGAGGTTTACGAGGCTTTTACTGTTTAAGGGAAGACCCCTACTATATTCACAGGGAAACTCCATATTTATCAGATTTTGATTCGCAAACTTATTAATAGTTTCATGTATTGAATATTTTTTCACAAAACAAAACGTTAAATTTCTTTGAGTCCTTAATGTTTAAGAATAAAAATGTGAACAAACAAAAATGAGATTATGATCTGATTCACTGTATTACACTCTGATCTACTGATGTATCCACGACATATGTAATATGTACCTTATGAGGCAAGCGCAAAACTTTTAAAGTATAAAGGCTATGTTATGCAAAAGGTAATGGAACTTTTCAGAAACAGTAATATTTCAATAAATTTTTGTGAATTCTTTCACGTGTACTACACGTACGTTTCACGTTTTTCATTAACTAAAATTTTCTAGTTTCTAAAGGGTATAAATATAACTTATATTAGCATTGAAATTTCATTTTAGAAATGTGGCTCTTATTTTTTTGCTAAATGGGATGGAAATAAATATTACAATGTTGGTTGACTGGGTGATAAATTATTTATTTTGGAACGAATTTTCGTCATCCCTTATCAAGGGATTTCTGTAGCGGGATAGAAGGCACCAAAAAGTACTAGCGAAATCACCTACAGAAAGCAGCTATATTCAAAAGGATTATGCGTCCTGGACTGACTCAAGTTCCGAAACCATAAGATTACTCTTAGATAACTTCTTCCCAGAATATACTGAGGATACGTTTAATAATACATAACCAGCAGAAGTTACACCAGAGCTTATCAGTGAAATTATATGTGACAGACAAGTTTGTTGGGCTATATGCAACTAGTTGGGCTAACGACTCGCAGGTCTGTCAAGAGGGGTACTCCACAGGAGGGTGTTCTCTCTTCACTCCTACGGGTAGTCAAAGTGAAGTCACTGTTGCGGTGCATGGAGGCGGATGGAAATCATGATGTAGGGAGACAGAGGTGGCGCAATCAGCAGTATTCTATCATTCTTGGATGGAAATTGTGTTTTCACATATGCCGATGACGTTTCGACGAGCCAGCTGTGGATCTTACTGAAGAGTGTGACTAGGCCGGCCTGCGCTGCGGTAGTGAAGAAGGGTTGCCCAGGAGCCAATGCTCGGCTGCATCGCCGATAACACCGAGGGGGAGGAGGTCGTGAAGGAGGACGCAGATATCACGATGGTAAAGATTAAGCGGACGGATTCATATGAAGCTGAGCCAGGAGCCGTGGGTGCACGAAAATAACATCTGCGGGCTTGAGATGAAGGGCTTTCAACTTATTGCCGCAAAAAATGCAGATAAGGCTTGAGCCTGCATAATAGCAAGGAACAACATAGACCTGTTCTTGCTTCTACAGTTTAGCAATGGCGACTTGGTACCGGCAAGCATTGAGCTGGATAAACCAGCTTCTGGCTTGCCTCTGCCTACATAGCCAAGGAGAAGCACGCCCCGCCAGATGAGGTGCGGGCGCTGGCGAAGGAGGCCATCTCTAAGAACAAACAACTGGTTGTCTCTTGTGACGCCGATGTCCACAAAACACTGGGGGAAAGTACGGACACCAATGATAGAGGTGAGTCATTATTAGACTTCATTCTAGGAAATAAACTTAGTGTTAGAAAGAGAAGAGAAGAAGTTTGCCTATAACATCAAAAGATAGCTCAAAGCGTAGCGGAGCGCAAATTCGGTGTTGGATTCGTGGTGGGAGAGATTTCGTCGCCGAGTACTGGCGTTCACCCCGTTGGACGAACGTCTAGTCATAACCCAAATCATAGCGAAATTCTTCAACATCTCGCTCATCTGCCTTCATGTCCTGACGGAAGAGAAAGACAAATCGTCCAAGGATATCTTCTATTAGCGTTTGGGACGTACATACGAGCGTTGCCCCCGTCACGATATCAAAATCGTGCTTGACGATTTCAATACCAAGGTGGGCAAGGAAGGAATCTTTGGCGCCACCATCGAGAAATTCTGCCTTCACGACGAAACGTCCGACAACGAACTCCTTGGTGCGGCATGCCTATACGAAAGCAAATCTACTGAAACCGCTTTGCACTCGCTTGTCGAGTTTGAGGAAAAGAACTCATCAGACAAGGAGTGTGCTTTGGTTGCTTGTGTAGACATACAAGGCGCCTCCAACAGCATCAATGCAAGCGCCAAAAAATTTCGATGTTGACCCTAACGATGTAGCTCTGGTTGAGACTATAAACGGAAAATAACCGCTAGGTTAGGCAACACCACACTAAGCAGACATGTCTGTAAAGGCACTACTCAGGAAGAGGTTCTTTCCCCTCTGCCCTAGAACTTGGCAGTGAACTCATTTCTGCTGACTCTAGGGGGAGGAGGTTGCCACGTCCCTTCTTATTCTCATGATCTGGCAATTGCCGTTAAAGGCAAGTACCCAAATAACCTGATGGGCATGCGCTCTAACATGGCGACGCTTACAATGTGGACAGAGAGTAGAGGACTCGGAATAAGCCCCGATAAAACTGATGTAATTCTCTTCACAAGTAAACAAAGGCTCCCTGCACTCTCCCCGCGAATTTCCAAGGGTGGGGAAATTCCTTCGAAGGAGAATGTTAAATATCTTCTAGGGCTCATATTAGATAGCAAGCTTACGTCGACAGCTAATATAGAGGACAGAGTTAAGGATGCCAACGTTGCATTAAACACATACAAGCAAGCTGTCGGAATCAAAAGGGAGCTAACACCTCGGATTACTCACCGGCTTTACATTTCGGTAGTTAAGATTATACTACTAAGTATATAGAATACTTGTATGGTGGACATCAACTCAAAAGGCTAGTTACGTAAAACTATTGAGTAAAGCCCAAAGAACTGCGTTTTTATGCATCTCTGGCACTTTAGTAATACCCCAAAAAAGGCGCTAGAGGTGATAATAAATTTACACGTGACCGTCGCCACGGCGCTCAGAATGGAAAGTATGGCGCCATGGAAGGATCCGCGATTTGGCCACGCTCGAAGGTCATGTCCTCTGGAACCAGTCATTGGTTATTTGGGACCTGCAGGGTCTAAGTTAGTTGGTCTTCTAGACTGTATCTGAAATCTGGATATATTCGCACGAAATGGAAGATTTTAACCCAAAAACCTAATCTACGCCTGCGAGGCGTATACGGAACCGCGATTTATTGTGAACACAAACATTCCTTTTTATTTGATTGTTTTAAATAAATGTGGTAGTAGTTTTTATAATAAAACTATGTTTTTTTATTATTTTACGTCACAACTTCAATATTCTTAAAAAAAATAAGGCAGAGCTAATTATGTTTTAGCTCAAATGTTGTATTTTAAGTCCCCTACGTCCAGAAGACATATGTTAAGGCTTTACGTGACTCCCAAGTAGATTAGGCTTCTAGGGTTAAAATAAATGCAGGTGGTGTTGGAGTATTTGTTCCTAATACAAACGAATGTGATTATTCCGCTGTAATCTCTCTGGTTCACTCTAAGCTCCATCTTATTGCATCTCTCAATAGAGTTCAGCAACTACTAACTATTCAAAAATGTGTCATTAGGAAAATGCATAATGTTAACCCACTTCGCCACTCCATGGAGGTATTTAGGAACCTGAGAATTCTGTTTTTCATTCGTTACATTGCCTATTTTCAGATAATTTTACTTTGAGGATAAACTCTCATAGACTTGTTGTTCCTACATGCCGTGCTACTCACATCAATAATTTCCTAACTATAGTTTCTTGTAAGCTATTTAATTCCTTACCTGCCTCTATACGTGACATAAGGAGTTTTGACGAATTCTTAGTAAATGTAAAATGTTTTCAATTAAAGCAATCTCATAATGATATCGAGGTTTTCCTGGTTCCTAGTACTTAATTAACTCCAGATCTAAATTTTTTTTTAATTTTTTTCAAAAGCATGTACTTCAAAACCAACCGTTATGAACTAACAACAGAAATGTAACTCCCAAAAATAATGCTGGTCATAAGATATATTACCAAAATATTTCCGGATTAAGGACTAAATCAAACACAATTTTTCAATTTAGCGCGCAAGAGGCTTATGATGTGCTTGTCATTGTCGAGACCTGGCTGAAGTCTGACTTCTACGATAGTGAATTCTTCGATCCAAACTTGTATGTGTTCCGTAAAGATCGGGATTCCGTAAAAACGGGCTGTTTTAGAGGAGGTGGTGTGCTGATTGCCGTTAAACGAAAACTTCGTGTATCTTTTGTTATTCTTAGTAATTGCTAGATCAAGTTTACGTTTTCATTAATGGAATGAAATCACATAGTTTTCTGTATTTGATGGCCTCATATATTCCGCCTAACAGTAATTTTGAACTATACAAAGCTCACGTGGATAATGTAATTGCGCTATCTATGGACCTAAATGACAACCATCTTTGTGTTCTGGGCGATTTTAACCTGTGCAATATAAAATGGTGCAGCAACTCTACCAGCTCTAGTCTCACACCTTATAACATTGCCACAAATCTAGAATTTTACTTTATAGATAGTTTCCTAAGTGTTAATCTAAAACAAATGAACTGTTTTTTAATGATTTAAATAGATTGTTAGACCTTATATACGTAAGTGACAACATTGATTCTTATATTTCAAAATGCATTTCGCCGATTTCTGATGCTAGTATTCACCATGTGCCTTTAGAAATTGAGCTTAAATATTATGTGTTTTCAACCATTATGTCTAATGAGGGAAATGCTTTCAATTATACGTCTTGTGATTTTCCAAGTTTAAATAAATCCCTTTCAGAAATTCAGTGGGATGAGTTACTTATGGACTTGGATACTCACAGTTGCTATACAACCTTTAAATCGACACTATGAATTCTGTTTGAATAACATACCTTTGAAAAAGAAGCGACCATACAAGTCACCGTGGTATAATAGAGATTTAATGAAATTGAAAAACATTAAAAACAAATATCTCAAAAAGTTCAAGTCAACTAAGATTCAATCATTCTTTGTAAAATTTCAACACTACCACAAGGAATTTAAGTCAATAAATAACCTGCTTTACAAAAGATATATTCGGAATGCAGAGCGGAATATTAAAGCTAACCCGAAATCTTTCTGGAATTTTGTAAAATCAAAAAAACTTTGTTCTAGCATACCCAGTACAGTATTTCTGGAAAACCAATTCGCTAATACTCCTGTCACATGAATGTTGCTATTTCCAAAGCATACTCGGTAATAAGTTTTGTTCGACGTAATACCTCCGAGTTTTCTGATCCTTACACCTTTAAGCTTCTTTTTTCGTCTCTTGTACGCTCTAACTTAGAGTACGCGGTAATTATCTGGAGACCATATGATCAACAATCGGTAAATAGGATTGAAAGGATTCAAAAATTTTTTGTGAGACATGCATTGCGATCATTGCGGTTCGAGAATCCCATTCCATCCTACCATTCGCGCCTGTTGCTAATTGATCTAAATTCTTTGGAAAAGAGGTCAGTCCTCTCTCTTTCTTTTATGTTCAATGTAATTAATGGCATTATCGATTGCCCAACTCTACTCGAGCGGATTAGCTTTAATGTGCCGCAAAGAAATCTGCGTAATTTTTATCCGTTTTATGTTGATAACTGCAGAGCTAAATTTGCGAGTAATGCGCCTATTTCGCGTGCCCTAAAGGAAGTTAATGATTTATTTTCTTCTAAGTTAATTGACTTTTCTCTATCTAAATCTGCTTTTGTGAGCCTATTAAATTCAATTATGCAATAAGCATTTATTGTTAATTTTTCTATAGTCTGCATCGTACTTTGTACTGTAGATTTAAAATGAAATAAATAAATAAATAAAATTACTATTCTGTTCTTATACACGGTCAAAAATTTGGGTTTAATTTTTTAACCGCGCTGGGACTACTGCCTTTTTTAAACTTTTATAGTCTACTTTTTAAACCAGTCAATAGTTTTACGCAATTTTTAATATATTTTGGTTTAAATTTTAGCCCAAAAAGTTCGTGGTTTAAAAATCAAACCAAAATGTTTTAATTCTAGTTTCTAGGTTTCATATATAGAAAATTTGGTTTAAAATCTAAACCGAAATAGAATATGTTTGCACAGCGAATTGTGGTGTTGATTCAAACTCAACATATGAAAGCACATTTACATGCGTGGCTGTAGCTGAGTGTGCAAAGATGCTTGATACAATTGGTTGCTACCAAGGCTGTCCGGGTTCAATCCCAACCAGACGGAGCATGAAATTTAAGATTGTTTTTTTTTTATTCTTAATTATGAAAATGTTTGGGTTTAACATTTAAACCGAATTGTTTAAATTCTAAACCCAACATATGTGCTCTCTTTTTTTTAAACTTGGAAGGTTTGTATTTGAAACTGAATTTAGTTTGGTCATATATGTAGTCCAAAAAGTTTAAAATTAAAACCGAAATTTTTAACCGTGTACATATCATTTACATAATGTGTACTTTTAACTACTACCCTCACCCTACACACAACACATTTTCATTAAATAATTTGATCTAGAGATGGAATTCGATACTATTAAAACTCATTTTACAAAATGTCTTACTTTTTCATGCATTTTAATATTTTTAATTTAAGTTAGGCTGACTTCCAAAACGTATCAACGTATTATACAGCGGTATTGAAACTGTTTGTATATGCAGAGTTGCGACACATTGCAACCATATACATTGCATATTTTAAATATTCAATATTGCAATCAAGGCGAATTTATACATGCATTCGCCTTGATTGCAATGAACAGTTTTGCCGGATTTTCCATTTTTAAAACACCAATGCTAAACAATAACAAACGAAGCATCAACTTTGCAGTCGATAACTTTTCGGATGCGTTATGGAAAAGTAGACATTGCCCATATTTTGTAGTTCGGCGTTATGGAGCATTATACTTTTTACGTATACAAAGCAATTGACGTTTTGGAAGTCAGCCTTACACGGTTAAAAATTTCGGTTTTAATTTTAAACTTTTTGGACTACATATATGACCAAACTAAATTCAGTTTCAAATACAAACCTTCCAAGTTTAAAAAAAAGAGAGCTAAAATTTAAACCAGAATATGTTAAAAATTGCGTAAAACTATTGACTGGTTTAAAAAGTAGACTATAAAAGTTTAAAAAAGGCAGTAGTCCCAGCGCGGTTTAAAAATTAAACCCAAATTTTTGACCGTGTAAATATAAAAAAGTGGCAAAGCCCTACAGCAAGCTTCATTGTCAATCATTATGGCTAGAGGTGGTATACCTGTGGCATTTAGCTATGATTTCGTTAAGCAGAGATTCAGTTTTCTAAATCCAGTGAAGTTGATCATTAAACATATAGACAATTCCTTTTCAGAGCGTTCTAATAACTTAGTACATTTTTACAGCACGACCAATCTAGTGACTTAAGCTATTTAGCTATACATACATACCGTAAGCGTGCATCCTGGAAAATGTAATATTATTGGTTTCTCGGGCCAATCTTTAGAAACATAAAAGTGAAAGTCCCAAACACGATCATTCAGGTACGTTTTTATGGTTTGATGAAACTGAAATAAAAACAAAAGAGGGTTCATTATACGAGTATAATTGATTAGGATAACATCGGCAGAGATAAGTATGTACGTACAGTAGGGAAAATTCGGAGATAATACTATATTCCTACTTTAGGCAGTTTTCTTAAGGTATTGGCGCAATGAATGCTTCCTTTAATTGCTTCACTTTAAGAACTAAGAAAATTTGTTTGATCTCTTTAAAGGGGTGTTTCGAAAACACATCGAAAGAAAGAAAAAAAAAATCGATATGAGCCGACGACCTGCAATGTTGATTGCAATTTTAAATTGGTCTATTGTGGACGAACGCTATTCAGCAGTGTGCCGCTGGGAAGTTAACATCTATACATCTTATAAAATAAAGTCCCAAAATATGTATGTAATGTAATAACTTCGGACAGACTGCTCCGATTTGAAAATGGTTTTTTGCATTTTAAAGCTTAGCTATCTGGGAAGGATAATTTCAACATTATTTGACAGACCCTATAAAAAGGGCGTGTCACTATGCCAAAATGTGGTAAAAAATCATGAAATCGTTTTTAAAACTGCTGTAAACCAAAAACGAATAAATCGATTGAAATATTTTATTTGCAGTTAAACAATTTGGCTGTTCAGGATGTTGTGGAAATGGTCTTGGATTTGCAGTTGGAATTGCATTTGCAAATTTGTTGTTTGCTGCCATGGCAAACGTGTGCATTTTATTGTTGCGAATTTACAAATGCAACGAATATGCTAATCCAAGACCATTTCCACAAGATCCTGAACAGCCCTATTGAAATGATTACTTACGTTCTGCTTAAAAAAATAGTTAGTTATTTTCTAATCTATATATTAATACGCTAACATAAATTTTGTCTCCGTTCGTTTGGCGATTCTACCGAACCGATTTCAAAACCAAGAAAACCGTTGGAAAGGCATTTTTCCGTAGATGAGCAGAGTTTTTATGGTTTCACAATTAGTTGAAAATTACGGCCAAAACCGTCGTTTAAAAATTTTCGAATTGTGTAANATTTTTATCGACACAGTTATCAACAGGGTTATCGATATACTAATCGGAACATGGAATGTGATCACATTACATGATATGAAGAGACATCACATGATATTACATCACGTAATATATCACATCACGCGATATCACGTGACATGACATTATATGATATGACATCACATTATATGGCATGACATCACATGACTTGACATCACATGATATGACATCGTATGACATGACATGGCATTACATGACGTGGCATCACATGATATGACATCATAGGGAATTACATATGACATGACATCAGAGGATATGACAACACATGACATCCTATCACATCACATAAAATCACGTCACATCTTATCACGTCATCGCACCTCATCTCATCTACGTGAAAAGAAAAAGAAAAGGATATAAGCAAAGATGTGAAAGATAAAAACAAAGATGACGACCATAGTAAAGTTACCGATTTCAAAACCAAAAACACCATTGGAAAGGTAATTTAATTTAATGTAGACGAGGAGAGTTTTTGTAGTTTCGAAACTGGTTGAAAATCGTCGTTTAAAAATTTTCAAAATGTTCAATTTAAGCTGTTTCGCATTTTGATTTACTTTATATTTGAAATTAAACTTTGAAATAAAGATAAATATGAAGATGAAGAAACAAGTGATAACGATGAAGACAAAAAAAGGCAAAAGTGAAGATAAAGACGGAAATTGAGATAAATAAAGGCGAAAATGGAGACAAAGACAAATACATAAGAATTAGGTTAACAGAGTTGAAATTTTCCGATAGGAATCGAAATAAAATCAGCCATAAAGGTTACTGAAATTTATTGAATCATCGAAGTTTATAGTTATCGAAATTTAGCCATGCTTATTAAGTTATCGCAACATATCGAATTATTCGNATAAAGGTATCCAAAGAATTTACATTTTTGAGTTATCGAAATTTATCGAGCCATCGAATTTCACAGTTATAGAAATTGGTCGAGTTAACGAATTTTGTTGAGTTATCGAACTTTAGTGTTCTTGAAATTCATCGAACTAGCGATATGTATCAAATCATTGAAATTTATTGATAAACTTGAATGCATCGGGTCAATTCCAAGCCCTGCCGAAGTCCTCCAAAGACCTTCTCAGATAAAAAAAAATTTTGTTACGTTTTAGCGGAAGATTTTCCGGTTAGTTAATTTGTACCGTATAAGTTTTGCTACGTGTTAAGTTAGAAAACATCTCCAAGGCTTCTAAGACTAGAAAAACTGTCGAATTTCGACAGTAACTGGCACTCTAGTATAACATAAATTTGTGAAAGAAAAGTGATAATTTTTCAAAAAACAAAGTCGGTTTGTGTGTATGTTCGCTGTGTGCCAAATGTTCCAAGCTACGTTTAGTGATAGAACTTTTAAAAAAAGTACCGATACTAGTACTCATATGGAATACTCTAAAACAGAATCGATGCCAGTACTCTTATTTGCAAAAAAGTATCGATTATACTCGTACTTCCAAGTATTCTCAAAGCAAGCGCAAAAAGTAAACAAAAATCAGATTGCTTTGCTTTTTTCACCTCTTCCTATTTGATAATTGAATAGTCACTGCTTTTAATAGTTTTAATTAGATCTAAAGGAGTATTTGGAATAAACTTCCAATGAGATTAATTTTACATGCGTAAATTAAATGTTTATAGCAAAAGCTTATTTCAAGTTTTTAAAAGCAAATATTTTACAATTGTTCGACCCGTACATGTACATAACTATTTATAAATAACTTTACTTTGAAAATTAAATGCTTCTGCATTTGCATCGAGAAGAAAATGTGGTGAGGCCCATTCTCTATTGAAAAGATAAGCTCTCTTTCATAAAAAAATTTCTTCAAGAATGGTCTGGATTTCGAATTCACAACGAAGGTAGAATACATGGGTTAATGAGTCGGAAGACCATCCTCTTCCACCATTCATTATCAAAAGTGAGGCAAGATATTTTTCAATTATTTAAACATTTTAAACCGAAGAAAATATTGACTTCTTCTTCTTCTTTTTTGGCGCTGTAACCGCCTAAGCGATTTTGGCCGAGCTCAGCAAAGCACGCCAGTCGTTTCTCTTCTGTGCCACCTGACGCCAATTGGAAACGCCAAGTGAAGCCAAGTCCTTCTCCACCTGATCTTTCCATCGCAGTGGGGGCCTCCCTCTTCCTCTGCTACCACCAGCGGTTACCGAGTTGAATACTTTCAGAGCTGGAGCGTCGGTGTCCATTCGAACGACATGACCAAGCCAGCAGAGCCGCTGTATTTTGATCCGCTGCATTATGTCCATGTCGTTGTAAAGCTCATACAGCTCACCGTTCCATCGTCTGCGGTACTCGCCGTCATCAACGCGTAAAGGCCCGTATGTCTTCCGCAAAATCCTTCTCTCGAACACTCCAAGAGCCGCCTCATCGGATGTTGTCATTGTCCATGCTTCTGCGCCATATACCAGCACGGGCATGATGAGTGACTTATAGAGTTTTCGTACGTCGAGAGAGGACTTTACTCCTGAATTGCCTACTCAGTCCAAAGTAGCACTTGGTGGCAAGAGTGATTCTGCGTTGGATTTCAATGCTGACATTATTATCAGTGTTAATGCTGGTTCCCAAGTAAACGAAATTCTCTACTTTCTCGAAATTGTAACTGTCAACAGTGACGTGGGTGCCAAGGCGCGAATGTGCTGATTGTTTGTTTGATGACAGGAGATACTTCGTCTTGTCCTCGTTTACCACCAGACCCATGCGTTTTGCTTCCTTATCCAACTTAGAAAAGGCAGAACAGACTTCGCGGTTTTTGTTACCGATGATGTCGATGTCATCGGCATAAGCCAGCAATTGCACGCTCTTCTAGTAAATTGCTCCTGAGCGGTTCAGTTCTGCAGCTCTTATTTTCTTCTCCAACATTAGATTAAAGAAGTCACATGACAGGGAGTCGCCCTGTCTGAAACCCCGTTTGATGGCGAACGGCTGGTGGTATTGCTCAACGTAATTTTACACAGCCGTATGAGTTTTGAGGGGATGCCAAATTCAGACATAGCGGCGTAAAGCCACACTGATAAGGTCCAATCAGTTCATTGACGGTGGGCTTCAGTCTTTCACACAATCCGCTCGATAAGACCTTGTAACCTATGCTTAGAAGGCTGATCCCGCGGTAGTTGGCGCGAATGGCGGGGTCACCTTTCTTGTGGATTGGGCAGAGCATACTTAAATTCCAGTCGTCGGGCATGCGTTCATCTGACCATATTCTGCACAAGAGTTGATGCATGCACCTTATCAACTCCACGCCACCGTACTTGAATAGCTCAGCTGGCAGGCTGTCAGCTCCAGCAGCTTTGTTGTTTTTCAGCCGCGTTATTGCCATACGTACCTCGTCATAGTCAGGCGGTGGAACGTCGACTCCGTCATCATCGACTGCGGGCTCGGTTTCGTCTTCTCCACAACTTTTCGTGATGCTACCATTTAGTAGGGCGGAAAAGTGTTCCCTCCATAATTTTAGTACGCTCTGGACATCGGTTACTAGTTCCCCATTTTTGTTCTTACAGGAGTACTCCCTGGTATTGAAACCTTCCGTAAGTCGCCTAACTCTCTGGTAAAATTTTCGGGCATTCTTCCTGTCGGCCAGCATTTCAAGCTCTTCGCACTCACGTATTTCTGCCTCTCTCTTCTTGTTGCGGCAAATACGTCTCGCTTCCCTCTTCAGATCCCTATAGCGGTCCCACATAGCGCGCGTTGCGCCCGATCGCAGCGTGGCCCTGTAGGCGGCATCTTTTTTCTCTGCAGCTTCCTGACACTCCTCATCGTACCAGTTGTTCTTTCGGGCTCGCTGAAATCCGACTACTTCTTCGGCGGCGGTACTTAATGAGCGGGAAATGTGGTTCCACTGCTCGCATATGTACGTTTGTTGAAGGGTGCTCTCTGAGAGCAGGTGTGAGAGTCGAGTAGCGAAAGCGCTGGCTGTCTGTTGTGATTGCAGCTTTTCGACGTTAA